GCCTTTGTCCGTATAACAGTTTCCTACACAGCAGTTTATGTAATGACTGTACTCAAGTGGGTGGTCCTTGATACTGTCTCAATGCCTAATATGAAGTCACATTCAACTTTACTATTGTTGGGAAATATACCTAATGTTATCAATTGTAAATGCTGCTGGTTGTGTGACTTCTTACTAATGTTGTAAATGCTAAAGTTTAGATGGATGTTGTTAGAGTTTGTAGCCTAAATTGCTGAAAGGATCTTGATGAAACTTGACATAAATGTAAAAGATAGTCTGGAAGAACACAGGCTACTTATTTTTATTTTTTGTTTAAATCCCTGCCGACAGAATCGCGGGCGAAAACTAGTATTTTATATATTTTGTAACAGTGAAATATAGCACATTTATATACGAACACGCAATATCAATTTACACATCGAAATGTTTGTAACGTTCATACGAAAGTACAGATTTGCTCAATCATCATACATCATATGTTTACCAGTCTTGATAATGGATATACGAGTACAAGATCAAAGTACGCGTGGAATTGCAAACCGTTCACTCGATCACTGCGACTTACATTCTACACTTTACAACCACAATGTCTTAATCAGAAGCGTTTGTTGTGTTTTCAGAACTAACTTTACACTGAATCGATTCAAACAGCTGCAAATACATACATTCCAAAATAGAATTTATCACTAAGTGTTATGGTTCAAAATTGTTTGAATATCTGATGCAGAGTTTTCGATGATCCCAGTAATCAAAGCTCAAATTGCGATCTGCAACGTGTCGTATGTCTATCGCAATTAAGTTCAAATTAATGGAATCAATTTATTACAAGTTAGAAGTGTATGACGCGAGGGTTGGTTCTGGCGGTATGCCAGTTGCGACTTAGTCATGAACGCAAATACTAACTTGATAAGGGATCAGTTTGCTGTTAGTATTACAAGACGAACTCTTTCAACACATGCTTGGTATAAATACTGTAAAATGTATGACGTTTAGGCCATTCGTAAACAAGGCAATGTAAATGTTTAAAATATTATTGTATCCTAACACCGAAAGTATCCGCGTAGCGTTTCGTACACACCACAAAGACATTAAAATCCCTTGGACTGTTACGAAGTTGACTAGAAAATAATCCGATTATCGAGTCATAATTTTTTTTAATCGATTTAGGTTCTAATCTGATAATGAGGTAGACATTACTCGCTCACATATTATGTTAAAAAGGTTCATTATTAAAATACATAATTACATACAACGTAAATATGAATCTATAATTCTTCAGCAAATTTTTCTGCGACAGTGTATTTATGTTTCAAAGTACAAACCGTTGTTTCAGACAATCGACTTAGTAGAGCACGACCCGAATAATGCTTCCGTGTCTAATGGCCCATGGACGATGGATTGCGGCCATTCGATAAATATAATCGATTAAAAACGAATATTTTAAACAGTTTTAATAGTCGGTTCACGTGAAAATTTGTATGCCAGGGGATGGTAGTGGAACGCAAGATTAGTTCACAAAAATAAAATTTATAATGTTATCTATCAAACAAAATTGAATAATTTTACACTGTAAAGCTGTAGTCGTTAGTGCGATTGTAAGTGCTTATCTTTTGCTGTGTTTATTCATCATTCTCATGGTTACAGTGAATAAAAACATATTTGATGCATAGTAACGTATGTATGCATCTTGTATCCACGTGGTATCATTTGAAGAAAAAACCCGTGCGACGAACGTTCATGTGCTAATTAGAGCATGCATCGGTTGACAGTTTCCGCTGCTCTAGAAGCATTTCCGTTAATGATAGGACATTCGATATTTACTTTTCTGTTAAAAGCTTAATACGAGTGCAAAATTAATATTTTTAAACAATCTTTGACAAATAAGAAACGAGATCAAAATATGGGAAAGTGACAAGTTCAGTACACAACTTTTCTAACTAAATTAAATATCAGAGACTAAGTTTTTTTGTAAAACATGGAACGTTGTAAATTACGTGTGCACCTGAAAGTCCTAAACAATGTAATGGCATCAACATTTTAAAATAAAAAGAGAAAATACAACAGTTTGAATGCGTTGTCCGTAACACGAATGTTAGTCGATCGTTTCTCTGGCCACGCGTCACCGAGCGCGAATAATCCATTTGTTGATAATCGGATCGCCTTGCGTTATTGTGTTTTGAGTTATGAACATTTTGTCCAAAGAACTATTATATCATTGCCATTGTTGATCTCGGAACACTCGATCGATTTACAATGTTCGTATTTAGGTCTTTGAACACAACTGAAAATTGTATTTTAGCACTTTACAAAATGTTTTGATGAGATTGTAGTATTCGGATTTTTTCCGTTAATCTAAACTTAAAGAAATATACTAAAATATAAATATAGGACATATCAATATATTTCAGCAAAGGGAATCTTTTACCGGGTTATAAACTTTTAGACAAGGGTTATTTTTTCTCCACACAAATAACTTCAAGTAAACCGTAATATTATTTGACTGTGTGTGTAAAAAGACTGTTTTTAAATTTGTTCACCCAATGTCCAATTTATTCGATAAAAGCCTTCCAAAATAAACGTTTTGATCCCTCTTGTCCGTACAATAAATTGTCAATTTATCAGCACTACCTTTAATACTTTTTAAATGGAATGGATTACCGCAGATTGGTTTATAATCTGCATGTCCTGATAAAACACGAAGGTCGGTTGTAAACGATAGTTTGTTTTGGCGCCTGTGATGACAGGTAATTGATTATTTTTATCCTATTCGATTAAATTCCTTTCTAACGTACTATCGAAAGCTAATGTTTGATTAGATATAAAATAGTAGCAAAACAACTTAGATCACTTTATGTGGTTGGATTTTCGTAGAAAACTACATTTTCAGAAAGTAACTTTTTTGAAAAAGCTACGAATAATTAACCTTTCATTAAGAACTTTCAAAGCTTTAAGTCGAAGCGAAGATTTTTTCGTTAAAAGCTCTAGAAAGGTTTTCTCATTTTTTTTAATATTTGCAAGGTATTTTAATTGCAGCGACTTTTGCTAGAAATGCCGGTAGCTAGCAACCTTGGCATCATTTAACTAAAAATATGCAAAAGTATTCGAGGCGAAAAAATTTTACTTTTAAAATTTAAATATTGAAATTAATTTTTGGCACAATTTAAAATAAAAAATATTTTTTCTGAATTACCTAATCGTTATGGTACAATAAACACAGTAGGATAGAGTCTGATTGTCGATGTAAAAATAACAAAAAAAAAAAACGTAACCGATGGTTGTCTATTCCCTCATCTACCACTGGGAAGACGAGTAGGGTGAAACTTCCAACTTGATTACTCATATCTTTACTGTGTTTACGTAGTCCGTATATTTTCCAAATTAGAAACATGTTAATCAAATTAAACTATGAGTTTTTAACGAATTGTTTGCATTTGTTACTGTCATGTATGTATGTTTATTATTTAACTAGCTGTTCCCGTGCGGCTTCATCCGCAGGAAATTATAAAAACTTTTCTTTATCGTTTACATTTGTCAAATTATCAATTGTATGTCAAAATGACACGATGATAATCTATGGCAATCTTGTTTCCTTATGTTGGCAGCAACTTATGGTCTCTTTCTCACATTAGTATTTTTGTCCAATTTATTTACCCACTAAGTTTAATAGCGTGAAAATTTATAGCCTTAAGCGTGACGTAAGTGTAGGGCTTTTTAATAAAAAAAAGAATTATTCAAAAATATGCTGTAATTGCTGACATCTTAGGCAACAAAGAATATAGATACTGTATAGAAGAGATTAGTTGTCTAGGTTTTTGCAATCTCTGGTTGTTTAAAATTTGAGAATTTGTACTAAACTTAAAAGGTATCAAAGGTCATTTTGTGATGTCTCATTGAATAGAAATGAGCTCGTGATGATAATTGAGTGAATATAAAAAGTCGTAGAATTTTAACGACGTAATCAATGGCATAGCACATCAGTAATGGCCAGCTCTAGGCATTTTTATGGAATTGCCTTATTTCTCATACGAATTCTTTCTTACCTTACGACTCAGATAGGCCCTTGCTTTACCGAATGTTTTGGTGCTTTTTTTTGTTAATTTCTAAGAGTTTTAAAATGTAAACTATAAAGGGTAATTGAAATTTTATTTTGAGTTCCAATCACAGTTGCATAGCATAATTTTTTTAACCCCGTTTTCTTCATACTCTGTTGGGCTTTAGATTTTTGTTTGATTGTTTAAATCTTTAATTACATTGAGGTAGATAAAGTTAAAAAGGGATTTAACATATTTTTAGAAGGGAAAAATGTAAATGATCGCCCTTGCAAGGTTAAAATTGTGATTGAGCAAAGAACCGGTTTCGCGGTTTATTTCTATAAATATTAATTCTTTAAAAATGTAGTCTTGGGAAATACACATTGATGCCAAGTTTTGAATTTTACATGTGGTAAAAACCTATGTGATTATGAGGAAATTGCGGAAAAAGCGATGACATAAATGGTGTTCATACTTTACGCCTTATAATATTAATAATTTCAATGAAGAGAAAGCTGTACCGTGGAATTTAAATCGGTCGAATTGCTTATATCAATTTTTACATCCAAATTATTTCTTACTCAGTCACGTTGGACGACAAGTATGTTTATATACTTTTTATTGAAAAAATCTGCATTGATTAGTTATCGAAATTTCTCGGAATTAATTATGACATCATTTCATAAAGGAACGGTTTGTTTCCACGCTCGATACATTGATACAAAGAGATGTTAACATCTCCTTCATTGTCTATGAAAAATCTGAGGTAATAATATATTTTTTGCTTGGATTTTTCAGTCATGGAATCCAACGGCAAAAATCAATCTAGACGTCCTTTATGCTTCTAATAAGACCTTGATCTTCAGTAGTGAAAAAAATTACGATGGTTTGTTGTAGCGAAACCAGTCCCATTCATTCCAATGTGTTGTTTTGTCAATTATCATAATCTTACGTTTGTCTCTTTCACAGGCACTGCGGAGAAAGAGACGGATGCGACAAGTCGAATTGAAGTTCAGAAAACTCGCAAGTGCTCCAGTGATATGTCGTGAATTTTGGTGTAATTTTCCGTCTGTAGAAATATTTCGAAATTTAAAGTTTTTGAAGGTTATGCGAGTTCTGTGATTTTTAATTAATTTCCACTCATCAAAATCCGTTCGATAGTGCTCAAATGTCGATGTCGTGTTAATAGTGCTCTAACAGTTCCTTACAATGGCTAGTGACTCAAATATAATTCGTCCACAAAGTGAATTAATCAGTGAATTTACAAATTTATCATAGTTTTTTAATAAAATGAAATAATCTACAAAGGAATTGAGAACAGCGCCATCTGTTGTCCAGTAGCTGCAATGTGTACATGATAAAATGGAGGCCGGTTTCATACCGGTAGCCGCGAGCGGCAACGCTGGAAATAATGCGTTGCCGCCTGCAGTGGTGGCGCCACAGGTGAATGTAGTCCGAGCGCCAGGCCTGAAGCGCGGGAAAATGGAAGAAGCGATTTCAGATCGAGTGAGTACTATTTAATGCAATATTTTGTCAAGTTTGATAATCTTAAAATAAAGTTTGGTCTTAGATGAATGTTCATTAATATTAAAAAGCTTAGCTTTGCTCGATAAGGCCTCTTCAACTGTTAAAGGAAGAGGCTCTTTCTGTTAAGTGTTGTCTTGAAACGTGAAGAGAAAAGGTAGAGGAATTTAAGTATAAAATTATAAAAATATACGTTTAAAAGAATGAAATAAATATTAGAATGGCGTATAAAAATATTTCTTGGATTAGAAATCGATTTAATGAACATAGTTTTAATTTAATTTCTAGTAATGTTAGACAAATTGAAAACAACGGTGATTATAAACTTGACACGTTATTAAAACACCTTATAGCTAAACTTGCTGTTGCCCGTGACTTCGTCCGCGTGGTATTAGAAAACATACGAACTATAAAAATAACAAAAAGCTACGTATCCCTTGGGAACCGGACATTTCTCGGGGATGAACCTTATCCCATGTGTACTCGAGACTTTGTTTTATATCTGTGCCATATTTCAATAAGATATGTTGAACCGTTGCAGAATTTTCGGTAAACATTAAAAAACTAAATTAATGAATCTCACGGGAACCGTAACTATTCCAGGGATAAAAAGAAGCCTATGTCCTTCCAAACTATGCTCTAAACCTGTGCCAAATTTCATGAAGATCCGTTCAGCCGTTTAGGCTACAAACGCTAACAAACATCCATCCATCCATCCATTGTAACTTTCGCATTTATAATATTTATATCTGTGCTAAATATATGATTACTAAATGGGTCTGGCCTAGTCTAGACAATACAATGCTTGCACAGTGCATTTGTCAGGCACTTTTGCAAAGACATATCAGCTAATGCAGATTTTTCGACTTTTAATTAAATTGTTTTCTATCGCGTTACACTAAAATTTTAATATTGCAATGTATTTCGTATAAAGTGAATTGATCGTTTAGAAACGTTTAGAGTTAATATTCCATATTAGAATGGTCTGAGTGCTTTTACTTGTAGCGGCTTCGAATTGTTTTATTTCATTTTGTATTGTAAAAGTGGATATCCCTAGAAAGACATTTGCAATACATGTAAAAAGTGTGAGACACAGCCCATTTTTTGTGCATCTAGTATAAAAACATGTGAGGTCTTTGAAAAAAGTTCTTAAAAAAGATTTTCTACCATCTTGAAGGTCAAGAATTCTCACAAATCTGCTCTAAGGAGACTTAAAGGATTCTGAGTATGGAGTAAGGGAATACGAAATATTAAGTTAACATGAAGTTAATACAGTAAACTATAGCCGCTGGAATTCAACGGAATAAGATTGTTTTTTTTTTAAAGACAAAGACTTTAGATTTTAGAGATTACTGAGATATCTCGAATGCTGCTGTAGCCATTGATTGTCGAATTACGTTCGAATGTAAATTGTTTAGGGACCTAAATTAAAGTCTAGTTACATTCTTCACGATCGACTTGTGTCTTATGAAGCACTAGTAAGGTAAAAGCCATTAAGGTTAATCGATTTAGACGCTTCTAATTCTTTAAAACTAATTAATTGGAAATAACACTTTATATAGCTAACGATAATGATGAGCGATCTAAGGGTTTATCACAAATATTCGTGAGAATAACATCGATAAAGTACACCAAATGTAATACAAATTTTGTCTGTGACTTTGCGAATATGTTCTCGCAACTGTACCGCAAATTTTCGTGATAGACTCCTGTTGAAGATTTAAAAACTTGTTACCCTAATCCCAGTTGTCAGAGGTAAAATTATCATGATGGCAAAGTGTTATAATTGTTATGTATATTAGTTAATGTCACTATAATCAATGATAACCACCATTGTCTTTGACGAATGCTAAATTGATAAATGGTTAAAGAATGATGCATGATTTGTCTATCATTATTCTTACGGGATCGTTATTTCTAACACAAAAATACTAAGTTGTTTTGTTCTTAGCTTTGTACGTTCGCACTTGCACTAGTTTTCGGAGCAAACACAGGATACGATTCCGTCAACTTCCGTCATTTTAGACACTTTACCCACCTATTTAATAAACTAATACTCCCACTACTGGATGTTGGGGGACTAATCAGTGACGCTGTGTGCGCGGTCCGCGTCGGTCGTGCGACGAAACGCCCTCTGTCGGAATTTCTCTCTTGCGAGAGTAGTTTGAGATAAAAAATAGTGAATTACGTGCCAGTGTATGTGCGAAAGTGTTTTAAATTATAACCGGCAAGTGTTAGTTATGGTTTACGTATCACCTAAGCGAGAGTGATGTTTCACGTACATTTGTATCAATTTCACCTTTATATGCGCATATTAAAGACTTATCGGTTCGTTAGAAAGATCGCTCTTTCATGTTAGCGTATCGCTTTTGTTTTCTACTTGAAGGTACATTAATGTTTCTAAACTTCGATCGCTGTAGGGATCGACAGGGGGACAGCTTCAATATAACACCATTAGGACATGACCCCTCTAGACCTGGCCTAGATCATCGACTGGCGACGCCCATGGATGTCCCATAGCTGCAAAATTTCTGTGAAGTACACATAACCTACACACAGTGGCGAAACCTGACCAGAATCATTGAAAATCCTTTTATCTCATCAATGACATTAGTGTAGGAAAATTAACTTTTCCATTACTCTTAATTTTATTCTGGTATAAACGTTATCGTGATAAACATAATTTGTGAATACTAATTAACTTAAGTAATTTTGATTTCCATGTTGTTAAAATGCAGTTAACACATTTGTTCCGAACATATACTAGCGTTTTACAATATTTCTTTAGTAGTTGTTTGCGATCTCAAGTTAATGTACTAAAAGTTATAGTTAACGCGAAATCTCTACGCACTAAAGTAAATATACCGATAAGGTAAATATTTGAGACGTAATTAAAGAGGCCGCTCGTATCTGTTGAGCAACTTTTAGCATGTACCGCACTATCTTGTCATTTGTAATAGTGTTAATCTGCACAGTTAACATTGTTTACGCAAGATTTGTTGTGTTACCCTTTCATTATTTTTCACTAATGGTGGCCAGCGAATCAGTTCACGTTGGGGCAGCTTGTTTATGGTAAATTTAGCGAAAGACGTCCATCTAAACTTTTCTGTTTTAAGTAACAATTAAGATATAAACACGACATCAGTAATCTATTTGTTACTCTGGGACTACATTATATCTTAAATGTTTCTGTTTTTGAGGTGGTTGAATGAAGTCGATGGTAATCGTCTCGCAAGTCTCTAGGGATCTTTGTAGAAGGTTTAGATATTCATACTCTAAAGTAAAATGATCTTCAAAAGCAAATGTATTTGTATGAATGAATGGTGGAAAGTGACGCTAGAACGCGGCAGGTCTATTTCTAGGGTCCCTAAACGCAATGTTAAGGTCTTTGTAAATTTAAGACTCCGTTATAATTTTCTTTTTAGACTTGTCTTGGGAAATGCGGTTATATCATTTTTTTAGTAAATTTTTAATGTGCATTTTGGCTAAAGTCATTATTTTGTTGCTCTTATTACAATGTTACATTAGCCTAATTACTATTTAATAGTAGGTAAAGTAGACTAATTAATGTATTAATTATTAGAATCATGTTATAAGAAAAAAATCTTAAATAACTACTTATGTATTTTTTAATTCTAGGTTTTGCTCTCGACATCGTACTTGGAGATAGAAAAAACAAACAAAAATAAGTAGCCTCTGTATTCTTCCAGATTATCTTTGTCATCTATGTCAAATTTCATCGAGATCCGTTCAGCCCTTTAAGCTACTCTTACAAACATACATTTAAACTTTCACATTTATAATATTAGTAAGGTGATAAGTAGGATATGAATAGTATTTCATAATCAACGTACATGTTTATGTAGATGTATGAATGAAAAATGAGCTATGTGTAGGTGTTAGCAGAATCGTAATTCGATCATTGTCATAACTTGTGGGTCATGGGCGCTAGTACTTTTATAATTCTTAACACATTAACTAGTAAGTAATACTTTTAAAATTAATTAATAATTATAATGTAAATAATTGCGATAAATATGTTGACACAGTCGAAACAATTGGACAAAATATTGTTAACTCTTTCTGTACAGTGAATGAAAACTAAGACGATTTTATGGTTGTCAACTATCTTTTAAATAAATGTCGACTTTAATTTTACACTTACACTAACGTTTAGATGTTATGAAAGATCATAATTTTGCTTTAGTTTAGGAGGCATCCTTAACCAAAGAGACACTTATTTAAAAGGGACATGATTTGATTTTTTTGGTTCAAACTTTTTAAAAGTATTCGAGTAACCTTGAGACTTTCCGCTATAGTAAAATAGTACGTATAAGATATGTAAACGATATGTTTGCTAATTCCATATCGGTGTCCACCCGCATGGTAGTAGGCAGTGCTTTTGGTGTTAGAAGGTCGAATAACACATTAAACGTATTAAAACATTAAATACTTCGATTGTGGGATTGTCTTGCTGCATCTTATTGTTTGACATTGACCGATTAAAAAACATAAACTTATAATAAAGTGAATAATATTAAAGATTCCTTTATATCGGATGTGTCTACATAATCGACTCTTTCGACGTCCGCGCATGATTAATAAGCAAATTTTACTTCTTACTAATATTATAAATGCGAATGTTTAGATGGATGGATGGATGGATGTTCGTTAGAGTTTGTAGCCTAAACGGCTGAACGGATCTCTATAAAATATAGAGGACAGTCGGGAAGAACACATAGGCTACACGCTTTTGGTGTTTTATTCCACGCAGGCGGAGTTGCGGGCAAAAGTTAGTCTAGTAATAAATAAAGCCTATGATACTCAATGATTGTGTAGATTTATAATGGAAAAAGAATTTTTAAAATAGGACTGGCAGTTTTTAAGTTTGGTCGTAACATAAAAAACTGTCTTACTTATTCACTTTTTGTTTATTTAAAAGATCCCCTTAGTGTCTTTTCAATATCTTTTTGTGCGACAGT